CTCAACATCAAAAGAACAAAGATTCTCACCACTTGGCCAATTGGTAGCACCACAACAGATGGAGAAGAGACTGGGATTTAACAATTTCAGCTTGCTTGGGTCTACAATCAACATTCTTAGCACCAACAACAAGGAAATCAAAAGATGAATTATATTAAGAAAGTGCTGTTAGGAACCTCTCCAAACTGCTAAATAACAACAATGTCAGCCTAGAGACTAAGGTGCACCTGATCCAGGCCATGATATTTGCAATTACTTGCTATGCATCAGAGAGCTGGACAATGTCTAAGGATGACAGAAGAATAGATGCCTTTGAGTTGTGGTACTGGAGAACATATCTTGGACCACCAAGAGAACAAATGGGTCTACCCTGAAGAGGGTAAAGCCAAGTTTCTCCTTAGAGGCTAGGATTGTGAAGCTCCATCTCACATACTTTGGGCACGTAGCCAGAAGAGACTGGTCCTTGGAGAAAGACATTATGTTTGGAAGGGTGGAGGGACAGTGCAGGAGAAGAAGACCCCAGATGAGAAGGACTGACACAGTAACTGGGGTAATAGGGGCAGCAAATATGTCAGAGACAGTGAGACTGGCTCAGGATAGGGCAGGGTTCAGAGCTATTGTGCTAATAGTGTTGCTATGAGTTGCAGATGACTCAACAGCACTTAACAACAATAAAACATAAACTGCATGAGAGAAGACTATATATTTTTTTTCCTGGTAAGTCACTGATGGATTCACACCATGAGAGAAGTGTGACCTTTGGGTTAAAATGACAACTCCCTATTGATGATGCCACCAGAACTCCCTAAATACCAGTGCCCCTCAAAACTGTTAAGGTCACAAAAAACACACAAGGCATGAGAAACTGTCATAGACTAACAAGATGAGAACCTGAGACAGAAAAAAATTAGGAAAAATTAAGAAAATGCAAATAAAGTACGGACATTAGTTAATTATTAACTTATCAGTGTAGGTTCATTAGTTTAAGGTATGCTAACAAAAGAGAAAACGGGGTGCCAGAGTATGCAGAAATTCTCTTTACTATTTTTATAGCTTTTCAATAATACCAAAACAAAAGCATATTTCTTTAAAAAGACCACAAATACCATGTCAAAAAAGGTCATCTTAGGAAAAGACCCTAGATAGCCACAATCATCTTGAAAAATAAGAGGAGAAGAACCCACACTTCACTGAATTCAAATATACTGCAAAGTTCCCCTAATCAGGACGTACTGGTAAAAGGAAAGACATAAAGACTATTGGAATAGAGACAAGAGTCCAGAAATAAACGCATACTATGGTTCGCTGATTCATTCTGATTTTTTTATTTTCACAGACAGTATTAGATGAGATTCAGCTTCTGAGCACTATATGGTCCTCCCACAGAATGGAGATGACAACTCTGTAAAAAATCATTAGGCCATAGATGAACCACCAAAAATATACATGGGGTATTACGTGGGAAAGAAGTCTATGCAGCATGTGATGTCAGGAATACTGAATTTGTGCACACACAAGAATGACACTGAATCTCCATATTATACCGTCTATGAAAATGAAGTCAAAGTAAATCATCAATGACTCAAATACAAGAGATAAAACTCAGAGGAAACATAAACCAAACCAGCACAATCAAGGGACCCTGCAGGACAGAGGAAAGTAACTGCACAGGTTTTCCAAGGCTGTCAATCTTCATGGAAGAGGCTCAGTTAACTTTCTCTTAAAGAGCAGTTGACGGTTTCAATCTGATGACTTTGTGGTTGGCAGCCAAATGCCTTAACTGCAGCACTACCAGTGCTCCTTCAGTGACAAAAATATACAGATAAAACTCCAAAACATTTAACAGTGGGTCTTATATACAATACCAAAAGCACAGGCAACAAAAGAAGAAAAACAAAACAGATAAACGGAGTTCAATAAAATAAAAAACTTTTCACATCACACAATATGTTCAGAAAGTTAAAGATAGTTTACAAAAGGGGAAGAAAATCTAGAAAACATATTATTTATCAAACCAAAATAATCCCAAAAGTCAATTTTAGAAGAGACCCTGAAGGACAGAGCTGAACTGTCCACTGGGTTTCTAAGGTTATAAATCTTTAGAGAAGCAGATTGTTGTACCTTTCTTCTTGCAGAGTTGCACACAGGATTAGGAGCTGAGTGCTTTAACCACTGACCCAGCAGGGCTCCTGAGCACATTCAGGGCTGCATCTGTTTGCTGGAACAACTCTTTAACTCCTGCAGCATTCTTTTACCACCAATGCCTTCAGTGAGACTTCCTCCCTTATTACCACTGGCTCTCGATCAACTGCTACCTGCCTGAAGGCTCAGTATTGACTGAATCTTTCTGGTACAGTGACTCTTCATTCTTTCCCTCTTCTTTTGATACTTCCTGGGTCATTCAGTATTTTTCTCATAGAATCCTTCAGTATTGCGACTAGAGACTTAAAGTTTCCTTCATTCATCTAAGAAATGCCAGGATGTTGTTCCTGCTTGGTTTTCTTTTTTTTTTTTCTGCTTGGTTTTCTAACTCCAGCTCTGCACATGTCATTCTAATGTGCTTTGTTTTGTCTTCTCTAGAAACCGTTTGGAATCTTCTGAGTTGAACAAACGAGTTCAATGTTCTAGAGCAAGTCTCAGAGTCTTTTCTGACATTCATTATGATCTTAAGTCTCAGAGTCTCTTCTGACATTCATTATGATCTTTTCTTTCTTCTCTCTTTGTAATGAACTTTTATATTCTTCATGGATATGTTCTTGACATCATATCACAACTTATATGGCCTAATGCATTAAACATATTCTTGAAATTGTTTTCAAGTCCAGATAGGAAAGAGTGAAGGTTATATTTTAGCTCTTATGGACTTGTTTTAATTGTTGTCAGCTTCAGTTTGAACCAGCATAAGCACTTAATAGTCTGTCTGTTCCACAATCAACCCCTGGCCTCATACTGACTGATGTTATTACCTCTTCCATTCTCTTTTAGCAAATGTAATCAATTCCTGTGTATTCTTCAGGCAAAGTCCATGTGCAAGGTCACTGTTTACGTTTTTATTTTTTATTTTTATTTTATTAATTTTTGTGCATGTACCATCAAATCAGATCTGACTGGTACAGGAGGAGATTGCCCCTCCTCCAGCAGAGCATCTGGTGGATTCAAACTGCACACCTCTGGGATTGCAGTGCAGCTTCTTGCCACTAGGACAACAGAGCTCCCTACTGTTTAAGTTTTTTTTGTTTTGTTTTGTTTTTAATTTTTGTGTGCGTGTACCGTCAAATCAGATCTGACAGGTACAGGAGGAGATTATCCCTCCTTCCCCGGCAGAGCATCTGGTGGATTCGAACCGTGCGCCTCAGGGATTGTAGTCGCAGCTCCTTGCCACTAGGCCACCAGAGCTCCCCTTGTTTAAGTTTTTGAGGTGCTGTAGAATCAACTACAACTCACAGAGGTCCTGTAACAACAGCCTAAAACCTTGCCCTGCTCCACACCATCCTCAGAGCATCTGCCCCGCTGTAGTCAGTCAAAACTTCTCGGTGAAGGCTTTCCTCTCTTTCACATTTCCCAGCATGCTGTCTTTTCTCAAAGAGCGGCACCTCTTAACCACATATTCAAGGTATGTGAGATGATCAATTACTCCATCATGTGATCACCAGCTTCATTTCTGTGACCAAGACCACATCTTGCAACTATTAGTCTTCCTCGTTTCTAAATTTTGCATTCCAGCTCTGATGCAAGTCATAAGGAGTTGTACTCCTAACCCAAATGCCATGCCTCTCTGGTAGTTCAAATCCACCCATGGCTCCAAGGGAGAAAGATGGGCAACCCCCTCCCATGTGATTTACAGACTCGGAAACTCAATGGCAGATCAGCTGTGAGCTGGTTCTGACTCAATGGCAATGAGTCTGAATTGAATTGAATTGTATCTGGAGGAAGTAACCTGGATTCGAACCACTGGAGATGCTTTGTCTTGGATTAGCAGAGTAACATACTATATATCAATTTTCAGCCATAAAGAAAAACCAGTTTAGATATATGCTTACAATGCTGATGACACTTGAAAACATGTTGAATGAATTTAGTCAGATGTCAAAGGACAAGTACGAAATAAGTCTACTCACATGAAATATCTAGAATAGACTAATGCCTACAGACAAAAACAGATCTAAAATGGGCCACTAAAACAGTGGTCACTGGGATAAAGAAGTTACTGCTTCCTAGGTACCGAGTTTCTCTTCGAGACAATGAAAAAATTTTGCAAACAGACAATGGTGATGGATGCACAATACTATAAATGTACTGTAATTGTTACCAAATTATATACTTAATAATGGTTTAAATGGAAAATCTTACAGTATGTTATATATATTCTAATACAATAAAGACATTTTTTCAAAAGTTATTTATTTTAAAAGTAATTTTAAAAGTCTGAATAATATTCCATTGTAAGAATGTTTCTCCATCTATTTAATCAAATGAGTTCTGCATACTGCCAATTACTTCTACGATTATCCGTTTACAGAGCAAACTGAAACTAGCCAATGCAATGCCCTGCAATAGTTCCATGGAATACATTTTTAGAAGCAAGACTAAAGGTTATATATAACAATGATAGCCTAGAAATAATTTTAAAGTCCTCCACTTAGAAAAATTTTGGTAAAATATGATGTATCTCTTTGATGAAATATTCAATGTCAATTAAAATGGTTAGTCTAGTTATAAGAATATGGACCATATCAACTATAATGTTAAAAGAAAAGAAGGTGAAATTACACAGGTAATGTCATCTATGTAGATATTCATACTTTAAAATTGCAAGAAAAGGCTAGGAGGACATGTACCTAAGGAAATATCATTTGATTGCTTGGATTTAGGAATTCTTTATCAGTTCGTTCCACATTTCCTAATTTCTAAGTCTTCCATGAGAGGCCCAGTCTTTTACCATAAAAGTCTAAAGAATATTTCTATTTACAAGAGTTAAATCATAGGAGGAAACAACTTACCTCCAGTTTAAATGCCAGGCCTACGAACGGGTGAGAGTTGTCTCTCTGAGAGTTCATCAAGATTTTGCTTTTCTTGTTTGAGTCACTAAAACAATGAAATATAAACCTGTGAGATGACTTCTTTCATTAAAACATACTATCTGAGAAAATGTGCTAACTCGGGTTTTTGTTTTTACCTCATAAAAATAAAATTTCATGTAAAGATAGCGATAAGAATAAATTAATTCCAGGGTTCAGCTACCAGAGTGATAGTCCCAGAGTGAATGAGAAACCACAAAAACAAACTGGTACGGAAGAAAAGCTATCAGAGCCAAACTAAGTTTGTATAGTCAAATTTTGTTTCATTTTAAAAATACCACTGTAAACAGAGAATATTTTCTAATGGTAAGAATCTGGATAGAGAGCAAATCAAATCACACTTCTAACTCACAAACTACATATGAAATATTGTGTGTTGTTGTTATGAACTATCAAGTCAGAAGTGACACATTGCTGACCTTCCAGTGGGATTGTAGAAGCTGTAAATTCCAAGAGGGGAGACTGACCATCTTTCCTAAGCAGAGCAGGGGTGGATTAAAGCCCTGCCTTCAGGTTGGCAGTGCAACCTTTATCCACATAGCCACCAGAGCACCATACTACAATCACTAGTACTGTGTACTCTATATGCCAAATTTGTTACCTAAATAAAACAGTGACTGGTTTTTGTAGGTCTAGAAATTCTGATTCACAGACATCAAGTCAATTCCTACTCATTTCAGCCCTCCATTGGATTTCTTAGGCTGTAAATCTTAATGGAGAGAATGCAGGTCTTTTGCAGATTAGGGAAGGAAAAATACCCATAAGCATATAATCACTAGAAAAAAATGTTCTTAAATCCTTTACAAATACTGAAGTGAGAAAGCCTCTTGAAGACTTACTCTTCCTGATTGACAACAGCAAAATTCTGAACTTCTGATGGATTTGGGAGGTATTCTAAAACAGCATCTAAAAGAGGTTGAACTCCTTTGTTCTTCAAGGCACTTCCCAAAAAGACAGGCGTGAAAGATCTGTTTACAGTGGCTCTTCGGATTGCAAGCTACAAAACAAAACATACTTAATGATAACTTTATCTTACAAACTACATTTTGCATTTTAATCAATTACAAATCAACTAAACAAATCAAAGAACTGATATTCTTTGCAGTGCTGGCTCTAAAACAGACCAGAATCAGGTGACCAATAACAGATGATCAAAACACACAGATTTCCCTTCTCAAGACTAAGAAGCCATTTTTTATATAGCTGCTTTTTTTTTCCAATATTTTCATATACAATTAATACTCAACTGCAAAAAATAGAAATATACATATACAATTAGTAAGCTACAAAAGAATGTAATTGATATGTGAATGGCTGTGTGAAACAGGACAATAAAGAAGATAAATATAAAAACCATAGAAAGACATACAAAAAATTATTGATCGGCGAACTGTTTCACGCAGAGGGCAGAGAACCGGTAAATGGGAGACTAAACCAATCAAATCAAGCCCACTGACTGCCCATCAGGTTTCCAAGGCTGGAATCTCTGATGAGGAGACTATCCATCTGTCTCCCGCCTAGGAGTTTATTGTTCTGGTGCTGTGTGCCACTGTGTCAGAAATGACCAATAACTGACCCTCCAGCAGGTTTTGAGAGGCTGTAAATCGCACGGCAGGAGACTGCCCATCCTTCTCAGGGTGGATTCAAACCAGGTGCCTTTGGGATTACAGTGCAGCTTCTTACCACTACACGACCGGAGCTCCCTACATAGCAGCTAATGGATTAAAACTGCTGCCCTTTCAGCCCAACACATAAAACACTGTGCCACCAGGGCTCCTTAATATGGACACTTACATACATTTCTGCAACCCTTCTCAAATATTTAAAGTCTATTAAAGTATTATCTATTGGAATCCATTTAATGAACTGCTTTGGAGTGGGGGTTTCCCCCCTTTCTTTTCATAAAGAACATAAACACAGAGCCAATCAGCACAAACTGCTCACAAATTATGAGTCATGATCGTAGCAAATTCTGAAATAATGATGTCCAGGCCTTCCTCAACTTCTAGTGCTGAGAGGTATCCCAGATGCGGCCCTGCTGGATGGGGTTCCCGGAGAGGAAGCTAGGGAACCATCATAAAGCGGTGGCAGCGAGGAAGAGGCTGAAAACAATGCTGTGTCATGACTGGCCCTCGCAGGAATGCAGAGACAACACAGCAGTATGTCTCATTCCTCACAAAGAAATATAAAACTAACACAGAAAACGACACAAAAATAGGTTAAAGCAAAACATGTGCAATCACCATTTCTGAACATTAGCATGCTGCAAGGTGGGATAAGAGCAGAGCATAATACACCCAAACTCCACTGCAATTAAGTCCGTTACTGTCCACGGTGAGCCTCTGGGTTGCTGAGGCCATGAATCTCCACAGAAGAAGACTGCCTCGTCTGTCCCCCACACGTTGACTTGAACTGCCACGCTTTCAGTCAGCAGCTCAAGACGCAACCCACTTCACTACCGGGGTTCTTATAACAAAACAGACCAATAATCGCAGCCGTTGAACAGGAACCCACTCACAGCAGCGTTCCCCTGGACTGAGTTGCCAGGGCTGCTTAGGATAGAATAAAAGGGAATGTAAAAAGAACACACGCATGAAGACAGTTATTATGGCCGAAATTATCTTTAAAAACTTGCTTTCAAGGCTGCTCTGAGCCCCTGGTCATATTTCTGACTTTCCATCCCTCTCTCTATGGTATTAGAGACATACAGGGAGCTAGTAAATGAATAAAAAGAAATAGAGGTCAACCTAACAAAACGTTGTTAGTCAACCTAACAACTTCTCCCAAACGTTCCCTGTTTAAGAATCACTTCAGATTTGAAAGTTGTTGCCTTTCTCCTGCCTCCAGTAAGATATAGAACCAGAGGACAAGAATTTAAAACTAGACCCACGTAGTATCATGTACAGAGAAAGACGGGCTTATAAGGCTGACCCTTGGCTGGTATCTGGGAATGTGGGTTTGGGGAAGCTTCCTGGCACTCCCAGAACCGACAGGAATGGCTTCCCGTGTCTAGACTGCATAAACCACACGGTATGCTGAGCACCAGCTTCATTCTGTAGTCTGGAGTTCTGAGCATGTCAGACAGAAGGAGCCTGCAGGAGTGAAATCTGGGGCACTGAGTCTCTACAGAGCTTCCCTGGGCAACATCCTCACAGAGGCTGTCACAACCGGAGCCATCCTGTGTGATTTCAGGAGATGACTCCGGGAGGACTGCACCTGGCTTCCTCGAGTCCTCACAAGGCCATGGCCTTGCCCTTAGCTGACAAGGCATCATACTGCTGGAGTAAAGCTGTAGGACTGTACATGAGTATGACTGCAGCCTGAGTCCCGAGGGCCCTCAGTGAGTCACCAAACCCAGGCGTGATGCTGGGACTCTCACACACACTACCCTAATAGATAAAGTACTCTTTCTCTTCTGAGAGAGATACCTGATTTTATTTAAAACCAGACCTGTAGACCTGTATCTTCTGATATGGTGTCCTTTTTTAATGGAGACTTTCTGAACTCTCAAGATCCCAAGATAAAAGATGTCTCATTTCAAAGCCAGTAAAAGAAAAAAGCCAGTTTGCATTGTCCACTTCAGTGTACTTTTATTTTCCCCAATGCATCTGGTTCGCTCTAAACTCCAGTTAAGTTCACTGTCTTTCTACAATAATTATCTATCTGATCTCTGCTAAAGGCACCAAGTGGTGCAAAAGGAACTGCCAATTTTAGGCAGAGATCACCTTTTTTATTTAAAAGAGCTTAAGAATTGGGAGCTCTGGTGGCCTAGTGACAAGAAGCTATACTGCAATACCAGAGGTGTGTGGTTCTAATCCACCAGATGTTCTGCTGGAAAAAGAGGGACAATCTCCTCCTGTACCAGTCCGATCTGATTTGATGGTACACACACAAAAAATAATAATATTTTTTTAAAAGAGCTTAAGAATCAATACTTTAAAAAGCTTTCCACATATTACAGCAGTACATCACCATTTAGTCTGCAAAGACCAGAACCTCATCTCTTCAACTGGCTTGCTGCTGCAGGGTTCTCAGTTACCTTTCATTTTAGTAAGAATATGACCAAGAAGGTAGCTGTTAAAATAGCTCTTACGGGTACAAACTATGAGTCCTTTCCCATTTAAAAATAATATATAAGCAGAGGGGTAGAATTTGTGTGAGTGTGATATTACTAGGATAATAGTTTGGGGGGCTGGAGAAGGAATCAGGAAAGATCCAATGGGGACCTAAAAAGACAGGGTAATAGTGGGCATAGATTAATGGTGAGTAATTTTATAAAACACAATGTATAATGCATGAGCATATAAAACACAACGTGAATGAAGGGCTGTGTGAAACACAATGTACTATGAATTTTGTACATTCACATGTACATGAGAAAGAATATAAAATAAAAACCAAAACAAAACAAAAATAATGTTATCTCACTAGAGAACTCTGATGGCCTAGTAGGTAAAGAGTTATACTGCCAACCCAAAGGCATATGGTTCAAATCCACCAGCGGCTCCACAAGAGAAAACCAGATAATCTCCTGTGTGATTTACAGCCTCAGAAAACCCACCAGACGGTCCGCTATGAGTCATTGTCAATGGCACATAACAGTAACATAACTTACTACTTCTTTAAAAAAACATCATGCCATGTCAAATATCATTTAAGGAAACCAATCATATAAAATGTATTTCCTCATACTTCATTGTAAAACCATCATACTTCCTCCCTTTCCAAATTCATTTTCTTGTTACTATGAGACAAATACTGAGAGCACCTGCCTTTAAATCAGAAGCTGAAGGGATTTTCTCTTCCAGGTAGAGTTCACCAAGTTGCTCATCTGAATTGGCGAGACATTCAATCAGTTCCTGACGATGGTCAGCAGCTGCTGCCCTCAGTTCTGCTGGAATATCACTGTATCGGACAATCTGACTGACAAAAGAAATACCTTATTTTGGCTTTTCAAAGAAAGCACTCTGATAAATTTGCACAAAAATAACCACATTAATGATTCTTTCAAAAATTCAGACAGAATAGGGAATATTCTTAAAAAAAAATCCACTATAATGAGAAAAATATCTCCAAGTCTATAACAGACACTGCATTGTTTTTTTATATGTCAAGTTTTAAAAATATGATGAAAGATGCTTTACAAAATCCTTCCTTCATGCATACTGCTTTATCCTTATTCCAGTTATCTAAAATGAAGGCGTTTTGAGCTTTTAAGTTCAAAGCAATAATAACTAGACAAAGTATCAACTAAAATAAAGAAAGTAAAATTGTCATTGTAGCTAGCCAACAGCATTATTTTACTACCTAATTATCTGAAAAATGGCAAGCATGCAGGGTAGTAAGAAGTCAATCTTCTTATTAAGTACCAACAATACAATAAGCAGCAAACAGCCTATTTAGTAAGTTATTGTACTTAATTTTCACATAATATGAAATAACCTCTATTAACTTTCAAACTCAAACAAGTACAGTAACTTGCTCAAGGGTGTAATGCCAGGAACCAAGTCAACATCAACATCTGTCTCCCAGGACCATATGAGCTCTTAAATATGTTATTAACCATTATCTTATTAACGAGAGCACCACCGTCTCAGATTAGGAGGAGAAATCTGACTTACTTCCCACTATTCAAAACTATGAATTCATTTGTAGAACAAGGTATCTCATTGTGTAGTAGGTAAGACTCTTGGGTAATATGACAGACTCTAATCATGAACATTATTCTCCATTTTTTTAGGAGCTAGGCAAACAAAATACACACCAAACAATCTAATCAGCATCATCCAGTGGTGACCTCGGCTGCCAAGCAAAAGGTCAACAGCTCAAAGCCACGAGCAGGTCAAATGGAGCAAGACATGATAGTCAGCTTCTGTCCAGACGGCAGCTTGTAAAATATTACAGGCAGTTCCACCCTGGGCCACAGGGCAGATACTGCCAGGAGTTCCAGGCAGTTCTGTCCCTCACACAGGGCAGATTCACAGGCAGTTCTACCCCACCACACAGGGCAGATTCTGCCAGGAGTTAAGGGCAGTTCTACCCCGCCACACAGGGCGGACTATGCCCTGCCACAAAAGGCACGTTCAACTTGATGGCGGCGGGCTTATTAACTCAATTAGAAGGGAACAATTTTTAACTGCTTTCACTTATTATATCGTTTTTTTCTTTATAATTTCAAGAAATAGAACAGATATTTATCATACTTATTTTCTTGTCAATTTTTATCACAACACCCATCATACAGAAGCTGTTCTATTGAACAACTGAAATAACAAATAAGTGGACAAACAGAAAAAGAGATATTACATGACAGCCCTGGGTGAAAGATTTTTTCCACCACCTTATACACTTCATAATGTGACAAATACAACCAAGAGCATTTTTAAAACATTCTGGACATATGTCTTTCAGCCATGTTTTTAAAAGGTACTTAATATATGTTTAAAACACCATCACTTTACTTTGAGGCTTCTAAAACTGTTATATTTTAATCATTTTTCGGTTTTCAACTTACCCAAAGTCTCCATCAAAATAGATGGCTCGTTCCTCAATAAGATCTATAATACCTTTAAAATTACCTTCCAAACCAATGGGTATCTGTACAAATGCAGCATTATGATTTAGCTTGGACCTGCAGAAATAAAAATATACATGTTTACCTCTCTTTTACTCCACAGATGCCTTTGATTTTTTTTTAATGTATAAATATAAATAAATAGCTGATGCTAGAAAATAAGATATTTAGTCTCCAAGAAATCTAGAGGACAACCACCTGCACACTGACTGGAAGAGATCTATATTTATTCCCACTCCAAAAAATCTGTACGTATTCCCATTCAAAAAAAGGTGACCTGACAGAGTATAGACATTATCATACAATAGAATGAATATCGCATGCAACCAAAATCCTGCTGAAAATTATCCAAAAACAGCTGGAACAACACATCAACAGTGAACTGTCAGATGTGCAGGCTGGGTTTAGAAGAAGCTGTGGCACTAGGGATAGTATAACCAGTGTTAGATGGATGGATCTTAGCTGAAAGCAGAGAGTACACGAGGAATGTCAATCTGTTTCACTGACTATGTAAAGGCAATTGACTGTGTAAATCAACAAATTGTGGCTGACTCTGAGAAAAATGGGAATCCCAGAACACTTGACTGTGCTTACACGAAATCTATACTTGGACCAGGAGGCAGTCGTCAGAACAGAACAAGGAAACAACACTGCATGGCTCAAAATCAGAAAAGGTGCATGCCAGGAATGCATCCTATCTCCATACCTCTTCAATCTATATGCAACAAAGACCATCTGGGAGGCTGGGCTCTAAGAGGAGGAATGTGGCATCAGGATTGGTGGAAGACTCATAAACAACCTGCATTATGCAGATCTTGCTTGCTGAAACTGAAGAAGACCTGAGGCATTTGCTGCAGAAGGTCAAGGACTACAGCCTTCAATATGGATTGAAGCTCAACATCAAGAAAACAAAGATTCTCACCAGTGGGCCAATTGGCAGCATCATGAAAGACAGAGTAGAGAGACTGTTAACAGCTTCAGCTTGTTTGACTCCACAATGAACACTCTTGGTACCAGCAGCCAGGAAATCAAAAGACGAATTGCATTAGGAAAATCTGCTGTTAGTGACCTTTTCAGAGCACCAAAGAGCAATGATGTCAACCTAAAGACTAAGGTGCACCTGATCCAGGCCATGGTCTTTGCAATTACTTTCTATACATCAGAGAGCTGGACAAAGACTAAGGCTGACAGAAGAACACAGAAGAACAAACAGGTCTGTCTTAGAGAGGGTGAAACCAGGCTGCTCCTTGGAGGCAAGGATTTTGAAGCTCCGCAAGGAGGGACCAGTCCTTGGAGAGGGATATCATGGTTTGAAGGCTGGAGGGACAATGCCATAGAAGACTACCCTGGAAATGATGGATTGATTCAGTGACTGGGGTAATGGTGGTAGGTGTGTAGGGGGTAGAGGGTTTGAGACAATTGGCAAGATAAAGCAGGGTTCAGAACAATTATACACAGCGTCACTATGAGTCAGAGTCGACAGAGAACTAAAAGCAGTGTCTCCAGAATAGGAAAAGAAACAGAACAATGGGGTGTAGGTGACATCAAAGCCAATGAGTTTAGGAAGCCAAAATCTCATTTAGCCAATAGGAAAGTAAAAAAACAAACGTCATTACCGTTGAGTCCATTCTGCCTCACTGTGACCCTAGAGGACAAAGGAAAGCCTGCCCACAAGGTTTCCAAGCTGTTATCTTTATGAAGCAGACTATCAACATCTCTCTCTCAATGTGACTGGTAGACCTCTTGGTCAGCAGTTGAGCGTTGCATCACTGCACCATCAAGGCTCCTTTAATACAGCAAAAGGCCTTCCAGTCCCCAGAATGCACCAGAGAGAAGGCAGAAGGGGACAGAAAACCAAATCAATGACCAGGATGGGGGAGGAAGGTGAGATAACAGCCCACCTCTCAATTATAGGAAAGCTGATTTCAGGCAAAGTTAAAGAGGGAGGTTTCTACAGGAAAATACTCAGAATGGATGTTAAAGCCAGACACTCACAAACAGGATGCTCCCCCCTCCACAGCCTCCAACCAGCGAAGAGAAACAAGGCTCGCTGGCGGGGATCTCCTTGGAGAAGAAACACGGACAGCTCCCAGTGTTTACTCTAGCCTCTAGACTCTCCTTTGTAACTATGAATCAGTGACCACGGATCATCAAATACCTGTAAGAAAAATTAGTGCCTAAAGGAAAGACATGAACTCAATAAATACCATTAACCTCCAAAGAGTACTAGAGGGAAGAAGAGAAAAATTCAAAGATCTAAAATGCAAATGTCTCTATTATTAAAAGATGTTGTAACAAAAAAAGTTTATTAAAATTTAAAATTGCTGAAATTTAACCAAAAAAGGCTAAATAACCAAAGGGATGCAGATGAACTAAATGAGAATACCTGACCTTGAAAAATTTCCTATATAAACAAATATTAATCTACGGATAGACACACAGACAGGAAAGATGAACAGGTAAGGACAGGGGACGAACTAGATCCATTATCACACTCAGGTTTGGCAGATATTATTTCCTCATCCATATATGTATGTGGTCTAATTTGCCTTTGTATAAGCCAACAGCAAAGTTTCATAAACTTAATCATAATTCCCTGAGGGAGAGTTGCTGGGCCCAAGGACCCTAGTTTCTCATTAATTGGTCTAACATTCAAAAAGACAATGTTTCTGTCTACTGTGATCAGAGGCTGGGTTTTAAAAGTTGAGGGTGGTTACCTTCAAAATACAACTATGGGTCCTCACTGTCCATAGTAAAGTAAAGAGAAGAAAAGCAAAGACATAGGAAACAATTAGTTCAAAGGAATCATGTGCATCTCAATCTCCAGGTTCCTGAGACCACAGCTCAGTGGCATCCAGGTACCACTGCTGAATGCCCAGAAACATGCATTACCAAGTCCTGAGAGAAAGGGTCAAAAATATAGACCAAACACAAAATCCTAAAGATGCCCATAAGTGTTGGTCTGACAGAGACCGGGGAAACCTCCCTTAGTCACCCTTCAAGCCTGGGAACTAAATTTACCCTATAAATCAGTTTTCAGTCAAACAACAGGAGAGCCAGAGAGCCCCTCGCTCCTAAAATAATCACAAGATCTAAAGGACAGCATTTGCCCTGTGGTAAATCTCAGGAGGCAGGAAGGAAGTAGACAGAGGATTAAACTAATATCATAAGGAAGAAGGAGGAGAGTGTAGTTACAAAGAATGGATTATAATTAATATTGTGGTTGTTATATGCCATTGAGTCTCCTATGACCCATAGTGACCCTATGTACATTAGCTCTGAACCCTGGCCATCCTGAGCCAATCTCGTTGTCTCCAACAGACCTAATCTTATTTCTCCAGTCACTGAGTCAATCCATCTCATCTGGAGTCTTCCTCTCTTGTGCTGTCCTTCTACCCTTCCAATCATGATTTCCATCTCCAAAGACTGGTCCATCCTGGCCACATGTCCAAAGCATGTGAGCTAGAGCTTTAAAATCCTTGCCTCCAAGGAGCAGCCTGGCTTCCCCCTTTCCAGGACAGTTTGTTCTCCTGACAGTCCATGGTATGTTCAATACTCTTCTCCAGCACCAAACTCAAAGGTAGCGATCTTTCTTCTATCATCCTTATTAACTGTTCAGCTCTTGGACACACAGCAAGTAATTATGAAGCCGATGGCCTAGACCAGGTACACCTCAGTCTCCACACTGACATTGTAGCTCTTCAGTACCCTAGAGTGGTCCCTGACAGCCGACTTTCCCAATGCAATCTGCCTTTTGACTTCTTGGCTCCTGGTGCCAAGACTGTTGATTGTGGAACCAAGTAAACTGAAGTTATTAACAATCTCAATCTCTTCTTCATCTACCATGAAGCTGCTAATTGGCTCAGTGGTGAGAATCGTTTTTTGATGTTGAGCTTCAGTAACTATGCTGTTGTCGTTATGTTCCGACTACAATTCATAGTGACCCTATGCTCCACAGCTCTAGACCCTGATGTATCCTGAGCCAGTCTCACGGCCTCTGACAGACCTACCCTTATTACCCAGGCCCTGTGTCAGTCCATCTCATCCAGGGTCTTCCTCTCCTGCACTGTCCCTCCACCCTTCCAAGCATGATGTCCTTCTCCAAGGACAAGTCCCTCCTGGCAACATGCCCAAACTATGTGAAACAGAGTCTCAAAATAGTATACATTTCAAACTGTTCTCTAAATTCATCTCCAATGACCACCTAATAGAAATTAAGCTCTATTTTTCTCATTTTAGAGTTGATGAGTTCTGATGAACATAACTCTTAGCTTCTATGTTCCATCTACTAGGGTAAGTCATTCCCAGAGACACATCTTTAAAAGGAACAATTCAAGAAATGTCTAATGCCAGTGAATTCATCGTCTTTCTGGACATGAGATTTCTACCTGACCATCACTCTCCTTGCTCTTTCTAAGGCCCATTACCTCATCTGCTGCAGCGCCCTGGCTGGGTTGGAGCCCACTCGGTCTAGTTTGTTAATGAAAGTTAGAAATGGAACGTTGTAGCGCTTCATCTGACGATTCACAGTCATGGTCTGGCACTGCACCCCTCCAACCGCACAGAGAACAAGGACTGCTCCATCCAACACTCTCAGGGCCCTTTCCACTTCAATGGTGAAGTCCACGTGACCTACGTGAGATAAAGAGAGTGGGAGAGGTGTGAAGAGCAGCTTCACCTATACACACTCACTCTATCAGTTTTGTGTCTTCGGTCATTACATAGGATCTTAATTTGAATGAAACTCTTTCAGTCTAAAACACTATCACTCAAATTCCTCTCTCTCCCTCTCTCCTCACATGCAGATACATACACACACACACTCACTCACTCTCTCTCTCTTTCCTACCTATAAGCCAGGACAGTATGGAAACAGAGAACGTATGGTAAAAAATTATAGTCTCTTAAAGTATAGATCCAGAAGTTTGCAAATCTGTTAAACAGGAGTTACAATAAAGAAAACAGGTATTTTCTTTTCCTATAATAGCATTCACTCAAGGGGAAGGGTGAAGGAAATGATCTTGTGTGAAAAACAATGTATACAAACTTTGCAAATAAACCAGTTTAAAATAAAATAAAATTTAAAAAAATAGTGTTCACTAAGTCGCAACATCAGAGCCCAGAAGACCACGTCATGAAGATGCTAGGTTGTGGGCATTTTAGGAATCAGCTGAGCTACAGGGAAAAAACAGGAACTTTTCCACTCAACAATCATTTATCTGAGCAGTTTTCAAAAACACTACACAAAGAGAAATTGCTGAAGGCCTCATGTCAGTTTACTCAGAAAGAACGAACAGTCACATTTTTTAACATGTTATACTAAAAATATGACGTGGGTCTTAGAGAGAGAACCAAATGCGCTTTCACCAAAACAAGTGGCAAGCAAATCAGCGACCCCACTCACTCACCAGGCGTGTCTATGATGTTGATATTGACATCTCTCCACAGGGTGTAGGTGGCCGCTGACTGAATAGTGATGCCTCTTTGTCTCTCGAGCTCCATGGAGTCCATCACAGCACCGACCCCATCTTTTCCCTTCACCTACAGACAAGCACAGGGTTCAGACTTGCATCCCTGCGCCCCAAGGACAGAGGTCTACTGAGACGGAGGCAGACCACAGCGACGTAGTTCATCTGAGCAGTATCCACTCCTGGTTATGACTTCTGTCCTGTTATCAACCACCTAACTCCTTGAATTTCACTTCTCTTCTCAACAACTGCAAGTGTAGAGTAACTCAGTCCCTGGCCTTAGTCAGGAGCACACACCCTCCTCCCCACCCTCCTCCCCGGCCAAGGTCGGGAGCTCGCGCCCTCCTCCCTGGCCTCGGTCAGGAGCATGTGCCCTTGGCATTGCTGCATTAGCCTGGTGTCAGTCCATCTTCCAAGGACAGATCTTCTCCAACTGTGATACATGTGGATTCTCAGACTTGAAGGAGAGGACTCTACTTTTAAAGCATATGATTTAAGTAGACAACCTTCACTGGAAGAAATACTTTAAACTGTAAAGTTAAGTACTCAGTGATAGAATGCTTTCAAGAAAGTTGCAAGATTTTTTAAAATAATTTCTTAGGACATGCTATTATGTATCATTTAAAATCATAGACATACCCTCATATTAATAAATTTTCAAAAACATTATTTAGTTACCTCAACAGTTCACTCAACATTTCAAAGTAGCTCGAGCATGTGGTGTTAATGATCCACTCACTACTGTGCTACTTCTTTTTCTCTTTCAAGCTTTCAGAAGGTTATTAAATTATAATGCTTAATAAGACCAAACTCTCGGTAATGGAGAATCAACCACGCATATACCTCATGCATCTTTGCAATCCTCCCCGTGTAGTAGAGCACACGCTCAGTTAATGTCGTTTTCCCCGAATCAATGTGAGCAGAGATTCCGATATTTCGAATTTTTTCATTAGGAACTACTATCCGTGATGAGTACCATCGGCAGGTCTTCCAATTAAACTGAAAAAAAAAAGGGGGGGGGGTGGTTCAAGTCAACAAACTTTTTATAATAGAAAACAGGGCAATGTGAATGAGTCTGGTGGACATCTTTTGCTCAAGGAACTTAACAGACACAAAAGGCACAGCCTGAACACACAGAGCCTAAGACAGAAATGATGGCTCACACTGAGAACAACGGGGACCCACAGCAATTAACCGTGCTCACACAAAACGACACCTAGACCAAGAGGCTGCTGTGTGAACAGGGCAGAGGGGCCCTACACAGTCTAAACTTACAAAGGAACTGCATCAGGGCTATATCCTCTCTCCACACACATTCACTCTGTATGTTGAGCAAAGTATGTGAGAGGCTTAACACTATGAAGAAGAATGTGACATCAGGATTGGAGAAGATTCATCAATAGCTTACATTATGCAGATGACACAAACTTGCTTGGTGAAAGCGAGGACTTAAAGAGCTTGCTACAGAAGATGAAAGATGGATTACAACTCAATGTCAAGAAAATAAAATTTTTCACCAGTGTACTAACAGGCTCTTAATAGACTGGCAAAAGATTAAAACTGTCAACGACTTCATCTTACTTGGATCCACAACCAACATCCTAGATCAGAAGATAAGGAGACATATTGCAGTGGGAAAAGTCTGTAGTCAGAAGATTCGCCAAATTATTGAAGAGCAATGATATCAGTTTGAAGATGAGGGTGTGCCTGATTCAGGCCAGGATCTTTTTATTCATCCACTATGCATCTGAGAGCTGGAAAATGAGTAAGGATGACAGAAGGATTGATGCCTTTGAGCTATGGTGTTGGAGAAAAGGATAAAATATCCCAGAGACTGCCAAAAGAACATATATGTCTTTGAGAGGGTGGAGACAAAGTACTTCTCAGATGCAAGGCTGGCAAAGCTTCATCTCACATTCTCTGAGCATGTTGCTTGGAGAGGCTATTCCTTGAAGAGGTGTCATCATGCTTGGAAAGATGGAGGGCGCCAAAAGAGATGAGGACCCTCAACCAGATAGAGTGACACAGCAAATGCAGCAATGAGCTCCAGCAAGTCGGAGACGATGAGGATGGTCCAGAATAAGACACGCTTCAGCTCTATGTTCCCAGGGTTGCTATGAATCGAGTACTTGATGGCAACTAACAACAACAGGATAGGCTCTAGCCCACAAGTCCCCTCAGCAAAGAAGAGACTACATGAGAACACATTTTTTTAAACAAACAAAAAGCTTTTCCTAAGTGTCTGCTACATACTGAGAGCTGGGATTAAGCTGATCAAGACGTAACAGTCTCAAAAAGTAACTTAGCAAAGCATTATAATGAAATGTGCAAGGAGCTGGAGTCAGAAAATCAAAAGGGATGCATTTGCTGAAGCTTAAGGAACTGAAGAACAAGGTTAAGTCTCAGGTTATAATACTTAAGGATGCTGAAGGGAGAATGTTGAATAACCCAGGAAGCATCAAAAGAAGATGGAAGGAGCACACAGAGTCACTGTACCAAAAAGAATTGGCTGACACAGAAGAACTTCATGAAACAAGATATGATCAAGAGCCTGTGGTAATAAGGAGGAAGTTCACGCTGCTCTGAATGAATTGGCAAAAAACAAGGCACCAGGAATTGATGGAATATCAACTGACATATTTCAACAAACAGATGGTGCCTGGACGTGCTCACCAGGTTATGCCAGGAAGTCTGAAGGACCACGACCTGGCCAACTGACTGGAAGAGATCTATATGTATTCCCATTCCAAAAAGTGGTGACCCAACAGAGTATGTAAATTATTAAATTAATATCACACTTGTTTGAAACACCTCAGATAGGTTAGTAGACTTAAAGAAGAAATCAGAGAGAATGAGAAAAAGCTTAATGCAGCTTTATTAAAGGGGGAAAGGGGAGCTCCCGGGTGAGTTCCTCAACCTGGAGAGGCAGAATCGGAAGTCACACTGTGAACTTACTGGGGAGGATTTTTATAAACAGAGTCTTTAGGGAGGGACATTCCACTCTGATTTACGAGCCACCTGCTAGCTCAGCCAGACAAGCAAGGCTGTTCGCTCTTCTTATCAGCAGCAGGCAAGGCCATCAGCATTTGAGTTCCGGATTCTTCATTCTTCTCTTTGGCCCCCTTTGCCCAGACTTAATAACCACCATCACACACAAGCAAGATCCTGCTGAAGATTATCCAGAAACGACTGGAAAAGTACATTAGCAGAGAACTACCAGGTGTGCAGATTGGGTTTAGTAGAGGCTGTGACACTAGGGATAATATAAGCAATGTTACATGGATCTTGGATGAAAGCAGGGAGTTACCACAGGAATATATGTGTTTCATTGATTATGCAAAGGCATCTGACTGTGTGGATCACAAAAACTGTGGCTAATCTGAGAAAGATGAGATCTCAGAACACTTGACTGTGCTGATGTAAAAGCTGTACTAGTAGTAGGAAGCAGCTGTTAGAACAGAGCAGGGAGACTGTATGGTTCAGGATCAGGAAAGGTATGCACCCTGTCTCCACACCTCTTTAATCTGTATGTAGAACAGATCATTCAGGAGGTTGGACTTTGAGGAAGAATGTGACACCAGGATTGGAGGAAGAGTCATCAACCTGCATTATTTAGATGACACAACCTTGCTTGCCGAAAATGAGGAGGATATGAGACATTTGCTGCAGGTCAAGGACTATAGTCTTCAATATGGATTAAAGATCAACATAAAGAAAAAGATCCTCACCACTGGGCCAATTGGCAGCATCCTGATAGACAAAGAAGAGATTGAGACTGTTCATAACTTCAGCTTGCTTGGTTCCACAATCAACACTTTTGGCACCAGCAGCCAGGAAATCAAGAGATAAATTCATTGGGAAAGTCTGCTGCTGTCAGGCACCTCTCTAGGGTACTGAAAAGCAACGATGTCAATCTGGAGACTAAGGTGTACCTGATCCAGGCCATGGTCTTAGTAATTACTTGCTATGCATCTGAGAGCGGGACAATAACTAAAGATAACAGAAGTGCTGCCTTTGAATTGTGGTGCTAGAGAAAAGTATTGAACGTACTGCCAGGAGAACAAATTGTTCTGTCCTGGAGAAGGTGAAGCCAGACTGTTCCTTGGAGGCAAGGAGTTTGAACCTGTCTCCCATGCAACTAGGACGGAAGCCCTTAGAGAGGGACATGACTGGAAAGGTGGAAGGAAAGCCTAAGAGAAGAAAACCCTGGATGAGATGGATTGACTCAGTGACTAGAGAAATGGGATTCGGTATGTCAGAGACCATGAGATTGGCTCAGGATGGGCAGGGTTCAGAGCTAACGTACATAGATAGGGTCGCTATGGGTCACAGGTGAATTGATGGCATATAACAACAAGAGTAACTTACACATTGCCAGACAGTGCACCATTCTTTAACCCTCTCAAAGATGTGTTTCTCAATATAAAGGAAAAGACTGAAAGATCTTTGTGGATTCCTACTGTGACTATCTCAGGGTGCTTTGGTGGCCTAGTGGTAAGAAGCTAAAATCCCAAACATACAAAATTTGCATCTATCCAGTTCTCTGCAGGAGAAGGATGAGCAATCTCCTCCTATGTCATTTACTGTCTCTGAAAACCTACTGGAGGGTCAGCTATGAGTAGCTTCCAACTAAACAGCCCCCAACAACTGTGACTGTACAGGCTAAATGCAAGTGCTAATCTTGTTTACTTCACAGACGCAAAACCAAAATCTCACACTCAGTCATTCAATTGCTGTTGAGTCAGCACCCACTCAGAGATGGCCCTCCTGGGGGTTTTCAGAGCAGTAAAGAGTCTAAGAGGAGACTGGTTATCTTTTTTCTGCTGAGCACCTGAGGGATTCAACCCGCCTGTCTTGGTTGGAATAGCAACTCCCTATTCACTAGGCCACTAGAAATCCTTATCTCATAGATGCAAGATGAAAACTCACCTGGAATAAGCAAGTGTCACTGGAGAATTAAGTCGTAGATTACTTCTAGATTTCCCCAAACAGGTTTTTAAAGCATCAGAGAATTTGTGTTTGAAAGATCTTAGTTGAAAGACTAGAAACATACCAGATACAAGGTCTGACATCAGTTGGGTTTCAGGTCTACTTTGGACCTGAAGAAGCTCCATGACTTTCATCTTAGTGGGAGATGGTATGTAAGTCATTTTGTACAAAGTGCATAAGTCTACAAAGAGCAAAAGGATAAACTGGACAAGTATGATCTCTGAGCTGGAGGAGTTGAAAACCTACCAATATGTACCTGTATTCCATGGCAGACTGCTCCAACAAAACTTGGAAATGGAACTGAGCCACTTAACTAGTTCTTACCTTAACCAAAATACTAGGATTTAATAGTGTCAGCTCCCAGGGGCCTTACTTTCTAAGTACTAGTTTACTTCCCTTGTTGTTGTTGATTGCTATCGAGTTGAGCATGACTCATAGCGACCCTATGAACAAAAGACTTGAAGACTTTCTGTAACTATTGTTGTTTCTCAAACTTTGTAGAGTTTCCAGAAGCATGTTGTTTAGGAAGTGGATACCACTCTTACTTCCCCACAACCCTTAATTCTCTACAATGGAAAGGCTTCATTGTGTCTGAAACTCTTAGTGACACCAGTTGACAAGAAGGTGCTTTAAAGCACCATTAATGGAACAGATACTTTTGCCAAATGTTACTGGTGTAAAAACCTGCAGCAGCGACAATGAGACGATTTCCAACTGCTCCTTCAGTAAAAATGTAGGGTTTAATTGACATTTTAGTTCTCCACCTCTCCCTTACTGTAGTTCACAGCAAGGAAATTTGAGGCAAGACTTAAATGGTGCTAATAGCTGAGGTCATCCACTCCCCAATAGTAAAGAAAGAAAGGTTTCTTGTTCTTCTCAAAGGCACCGATTCTTTCCTGCCATCCTTAGTCACTGTGCAGGTCTCAGCTGCATAACAAGCAGCAGAGAAGACCATGCCTTGAATCAGGTGCACCTTAGTCTTTGGACTGCCACTGTTGCTCTTTAGCACTGAGAGGTCCTTGACAGCAGATTTTGTAGGACACAAATCCAGAGGACACTAAAGAGCCAAAACAACTAGTTTTGCATGAGAGAAATGTTTAATTTCTATCTAACCATATTCCTTCAAGTGCTTCTCAAAAGTAAAAAATAAAGGTGTATTCACAGACTTCCATCCTCTATATATCTGCTAAAAAACTGACCAAAGAATGGAAGTTTGGACACCCAATTAAATAACCCTGAATCTGCTGAGGAAGGACAGTCAGCTCAAAACACTGTCATGAAAAGATCCCCGGCTAATAATTCCAAAGTCTTGGCTACGAGCTCTGAATACAGCACCTCCTTAGCTGTCTCACCTTCACTTCCCTTTAAGTGATGTGGACCGTGAATTAGGGATCCATCCACCCACCCCACCCCACCCCCCAGGGCAGGAGAGGCTGCTCGGGAACCTCAAGCGCAAGCACCCCGCAAGCGCAAGCACCGAGGGTTTTCCCGGCTGCAGCACAGCCGATGGCAAGTGGACCCGTCAGCCTGGAAAGTCGGGGACGCGACCCCGCAGCCCCGGGGTCAGAGCGCCCAGTCTCGCCGTGACCGTACCTGTCTCCCCGTCCAGCCCAGGGCGGCGGGGACCCACGGCCAGGATCCGCGCCCCAAGGTCGCTGCAGCGGTCACCCCCAGCAGCCTCATGGCAGGTCAGAACAGGACTCAGCCTCGCACAGATCACGGTCAGAAGCTGTGCCGGCACCGTAGCGGGAAGCTTCAAAGTCACGCCGGCAGCCACTTCCCGAGCGAAGGCCAAAGAGGCGGGGGGAAGACAGGAAGGGGAGGAGCTTCCACACGGGGGCGGTGCAGAGCCCTAGGCGGCGTGGGCGCCCTCTGCCGACTCGGAAGGAAAGTGCAGCGCTTTGAGGGACAGCTGGAAGGCAGGCTGTAGTCCCTGCTGTGAGGGAGGGTCAGAGGGGAGTCATCCTCACTTCTTTTCTTTGTTACCAAATATATTCTTACCACTGGGCCGATTGGCAACATAGAAGGTGAAGAGAGAGAGTTTGTTAACAGCTTTAGTTTGCTTGGCTCCTCAATCAATACTCTTGGTAACAGCAACCAGGAAATCAGAAGACAGATTGCTTTGGGAAAGTTGGCTCTCAGGGACCTCAATCGAGTACTGAAGAGCAATGACGTCAGTCTGGAGACTAAGGTGCACCTGATCCAGGCCATAGTCTTAACAATTGCTTGCTATGCTTCAGAGAGCTGGACGATGGCTAGGGATGATAGAGGAGAATTGATGCCTTTGAACTGTGGTGCTGGAGAAGAGTATTGAATATACCATGGACTGTTAAGAAAACAAACGGGTTCGTCCTGGAGAGGGTGAAGCCAGGCTACTCCTTGAAGGCAAGGATTCTGAAGCTTTATCTGACATATTTTAGGTCATGTTGCAAGGCAGGATCAGTCCTTGAAGAAGGACGTCATGCTTGGAAGGGTGAAGGGACAGCGCAAGACAGGAACATTCTTTTTTAAAAAAATTATACTAGCTTATTTACAAAATTCTAATACATTGTTTTCGAGAACATTCTTTCAATGTGCCTCAAGATTCTTGATGAGATGGATTGACTCAGTGACTACGGTAAAGGGTGGTAAGTGTGCCTGAGACAATCAGGTTGGCTCAGGATAGAGAAGGATTCAGAGCTGTTGTACAAAGGGTTGCTATGAGTTGCCACAATAATATGAGATGCATAACAATAACAATAACAACAACTGCTCTACACAGATGCAGCTTTTAAACATGGTACAGACTGCTTTTAATTAATAGAATTTAGCTTTTTTTATAAAGCCACATTCTATTGTTGTTACTTTATATATAAGAAAAAATTAACTCTGGGACCTGGCATAAGAAAGAACACAGAAAACAAGTGTGAATGAGGTCTTAATTACTAGTGATTTCTCTCATTTCAAAATGTCCTATCTTGCTTGATGTAACTGTCTGATGATCACTCCACATTTCAAGACTGCAGTCTGGCCAGATCTCCTGTGGAATCCACCCGAAATTTCACATGTCCAAAACTGAGCTGCTGACCTTCAAAAACCTTATTTCCTGCAGTCTGCATTATCTCGTAAATGAGAATTCCACTCTTCAAGTTGCACATGCCAAAGTACAACGCTTGCAGGGATGCCCTCATTTAATCTGCTATTATGTGCACTATTTTTAAAACTAGATCCTGAGCCCACCATTTCTCCTTATCTTTTCTCACCGCCCTCAGAGTGGCCTGAACTAGTGCAATAACCTCCAAAGGCAACTCTGTGCATCGACCTTTGTCCTCAACAAAGCAACTGGAGTGTTTAAGTCAGATGCTGTCATTTCCGCTGAAACCACTACTGTCGCAACTCCATTGGGAGCTGCATTGCCAAACCAAAGGTGACGCCGCTCCCGTAGTTCAAATCCATTGTAAACTTTGAGGGAGAAAGATAGGTAATCTCGCGTGAGATTTATAGCCTCAGAAATCAACTGGTCAGTGAGTTCTCATTTTACCCAAGCCAAGCCAAATCGTCTCTACACTTGTCCAACTTTAAATAATTAATGTTTTTAAACTCTGAAATTTGTTTCATTCCCAGTCAAAGTGAAATCCCACGAAGGCCTGCATAGGGGTTCCTCCTATCCCACTTGCCTTGCTCGCGTGCCAGCCCACCTCGGCCTCCCTGCGCGCTCCCCCAGATAGCTCGGTATCTCCCTGGAAACAGCATCTGCCATACCGGTGTTATTTGACCAATCAGAAAGCCAGACACACTACCACCAGGTCACTCAGGCTCACAGGGCAGAGCGGAACTGCACGAATCCATTGGCTTTCAAGGCTGTGGATCTTCCCAGGGCCACACTGCCCACCTGATGGGTTCAAGCTGGGGCTCCAAATCACCAGCTTCTTGGTCAGCAGTTGAGTTGTTTTCACCACTGGCAGCTCAGGACTTCAGTCATCCGTAGCTTATTGTCAAGTGTTGTCCAGTGGGCGGCAACTCATAACACCCTGCGTAAAAAGAAACCTGTGCCTGATCTCCCGTGGCCTTGAACCCACTGTTCGTTCTTGTGAGGTTCTCCATACAGACAGGGGTTCCCCATGTAGACCTATACAGAGGTCCGTGTTGACTTCAAACCACTAACGGCAACATAAATGGGAGATAAGAAGCAATTAATAATATACGCATAGGAAGCTCTGGGGGCTTTAGTGCTCAACAATTATTCTGCCAACCAGAAGAGACTCAGTTCGAATCCACCAGCTGCTCCACAGAAGAAAGATGGACGATCTCCTAAGCTGTGATTTACTCTCTGAAAAGTCACCAGAGGGTCTCAGTCAGTTCCAGTTCAATAGCACACAACAACAACAAATAGAGGCTGGGAGCCTGGTGGCACGTTAGCCATGGGCTGAGCTGGTACCCGGATGGTGGAGGCTGGAACCCACGCGTCACTAAACGTGGAAAAAGACCTTCTGCCTTAGCAACCCCTTGGGGCAGTTCTACTTTGTCATCTGTGGGGTTCTGTGAGTTTAGATTCAAGGGCAGTTGTTAGTTGTTGTTGTTGTGGTGGTGGTGGTTAGCTGCCACCAGGTCGAGTATGACTCATAGCGACCCTATGAACAACAGAGCTGAACCCTGCTCTATATCCTGTGTCATCCTCGCTCTTCCTGACACACAGAGCCCATTGCAGCAGTCACCGAGTCAACCTACCTGGTCTTGGGTCTTCCTCTCCTTCGCCGACCTTCACATCAAGGACAGTAGAGGGATAAAAAAACCCAGGCTAGCATTTCAGTGGGGAAAACACGAATACCTATTGTATGCAATACCTTTAAACGGAAGCTTTTTTCAACACAGTAAAATGGAAGAGACCACCTGCTATCAAAATAATCTGCAGGTAAATGCACAGTAATAAGCGTGCAAGCACACAGATGCAGGCGGTTTGAAAATGGTACATTTTATCAAGGGACCACATTAAAAGAGGAGATGTCATAGAGAAACTAACTGTGAGGGTGCCCAATTGTTGTTGTTGTTGTGAACACATGAGTCAGAACTGACCCATAGCTGACGGTCTGGCAGGTTTTCAGAGACAGTTAATAGGACGAGAGGAAATTATCCATTCTTCTCCAGCAGCTGGTGCACTCGAACTGTGAGCCTTCAGGATTGCAGCACAGCTTACCACTAGGCCACCTTCAAACAATATGCCCTTAATCAAGAACTTCCATGTAGACAAGGAAATGCTGAAAGACATTTTCCTGAGGGAAAAGTACAGGTATCAGAACTGCAGAGGAAACAAGTGGCGACCATCATAGATGTTTGAGAGGCTCCCCAGCTTGTTCTCTATGAGACAGTTTAAATTTTGTTTTATGTTTGACAATCACATTTATGCAAAACTCTGTTATCTGTATAGTAAGTATAGGAAGTATTGTGGTTGGAGTAAATGATAAAACTCGTCCCTCAGTCATATCAGCCATTCGTGGAGATTGGCTGCTTTTTTCAAGTAGCACAGATGCAGAATGCTTCCATCTTCCGTGGAAGTATGAACGTCCCCCCGAGAAGTTTTTCTGGGAAAACACTGCTCTTCTTGGGAACCAGCTCACAAACCAGTGACCCCACACAGTTTTAGGGGAAATTTCTGAGGTTATAATATGAAAACGCTCCACAACTCACTGTCTTACACTCAGGACCAACTCAGAGCTGACTCTCCAAGTGTTTTCAGAGGCTGTAATTTCCCTGAGAGGAGTGTGCCGGTTTTTCTCCCTCAGAGCACCTAGTGGATTCACGTAGCCTAATTTGAACTGGCAGCAAAACTCCTTTCCCATGAGACCACCAGAGCTCCTAGAATTTCTAAGCAAATGAGAAATAGTGGTACATTCATATCAAGTTTGTGCTAAGCACTTTATTTTCCCCCCAAGAGTGTTTTCCCTTCCAAGAGTGTTTTATTATTTGTTTTCTATCCATTCCCCTGTTGATTTGTGTTGTGTGTGTGATTTTAAAAAGTTTACTGAAAAGTTGGATTTTCATTCCTTCATTGTTGCACAATTTCCTTCTTCCTCGCCTCCTTCAGTTCACTTTGCAATACACCGGTTATTCTGGAGTGTTGACATACATATTACACTCCTTTTCAAAAATTCTTTCCTTAAACTTTTCCAATCCAGTGTTCATTATCTATTCCCTCTTTTTCTAGTTTTCTTCTAATGTCCCATCTTTTATAACAATGATGTTATGCAGTATTTGTCCTTTTTGACTGAGGTATGTCACTCTACATAATAACCTGCAGCGTCACTCATTTTGTGTAATGTTTTATGAAATCCTTCTTTTTTCAGATCTGCATAGTATTCCATTGTGTGAGTGAATATAGCATACATTTTTCTACCCATTCGTTTGTTGAGGGTCACTTGGGCTGCTTCCATTTCTTTGCTTTTGAGAATAACTGACCAGTAAACATGGGTCTGCATACATCAGTTTGGTTTGGGTAGTGGCTCTGGTTTCTTTAGGGTATATTCCCAGCAATGGAATTGCTAGGTGAAAGAATATTTCTATTTCCAACTTCTTGAGAAAGTGCAAGACCACCTTCCGGAGTGGTTGCACCATTTTACACTCCCACCAGTCATGAATAAGGATTCCAATTTCTCCACAACCTCATTAGCATTTGTTGTTTGCTGTTCTGTTGAACTTTGCTATTCTTG